GACTATGATCCCAGATATACGGCATATGCTGTTTATCTATGGATGCTCTTATCATGCACCCTACATTCTCAGTCACCTAGCTCTATCCCCGGACTTAAATCCCATCGAACATTTATGGAAAGAACTTGACAACAGGGTAAGCAAACACGATGTACTGAGTGTGGACTATATGAAAAGACTTCTGCCAGAAGAAATGAGGCAAAATGTCATCTGAAACAACGAAAATCTTGTTGAATTCCTTGCAAAATAAGTTCAAGTCTTATCAAAAACAAAGAACTAACCACAAAATTAAAATTTGTTCTGATAATTTTCGTCACTATGATTTTACTTTTGTTCATTTTGATGGCTTGAATGTTATAAAAATAAACTGAAGTTCATTAAATTTAATTTTACATTTTGTAGTGACCTTTATAACATTCCAAAGATTATATAAATGATAAATGTTTTGATAAAGATAATGAAATTTACAGATTTTCCCGCATTTTTTGAGAAAATGCAAAGTGTGCTTTCACTTATGTCGATCACGGTATATAGCTTTGTTTAAAATAGATTAAAAAAAGTAATACCAGGCTGACATTGATTCTGAATAAAACTGCATCGATTTCGGGATGAATAGATATGTATCCTTCTTCAAAAGCAAATTTAATTCTATACTAACTCATCTCTCTTCTAGTATGCATTACACTGCCTCAGGCTTCACCATTTTGCATCTGATCTATTTCGATGTACAAATATATTGAACTTCCGTATTAAAAGTGCACATACTGACGGTTGAAAAATCCTTTTAAATTAAAACTATTTATGTAACTACTTCATATATTAAATTTATTTCGGTACAGGAATTTGATTTTTATTTGAGCTTTTTGCAAGTAGATTTAACTGTAAAGCTAAGAGTGATCATAACGTATTTATTAATACCACAGAGAAATATTTATCATTTTGGCGGATAGATAATCCATCAAAATGACAAATGTTAACACACTGAAATCGATGAAGCGCTACAGCTGAAACTTTTCTATCTATACATCAACCTTTCTAAATCTATTTACTCTTTTGGAAAGCTTGGAATAACTTTTACATCTTGGGAGCATCCATACATAAACATTACACATGATAAGGTGTCCTACATTTAAATGATTAATTTATACTGAACTATTTTTTGTGAAATCCTTAGCAGTTTCTTGAAGAAGCTACTATTTCTTGGAAACCAATTTGTCAAAACGCTATTTAAAATTTTGCTGAAATGAAAAACTGGAATTTACTAAAATGATTGCTTTCCATTCAACAGTATTTACTCACATACTCACACACACACAAAAGGACAATTTCCCCAACATCTTCCGGTCCACTGGACCGATTGCCAAAATAAAACATGCTCTTTTTCAGGTCTCCAAAGTGGGACTTAGGATATATTTTAGATTTATATATATCTTTATAACATAGGTATTTTGACGCAAAGTTTGTCTTTTTCTGCCAAGAATAATTCGCTTAGCGATATTCTTGATTTACAGTAACTTATTTTCCTATCTCGTTTCTCACTGTGCGCAAGCGGAAGCAAAGGTGCAATATTCATTCCTTCAAATTCATTCCTTGGCGTTATTATCGCTTATACTAAATATGCCAAATTTCAGAACTCGCCAATATATAAATTCACGTATATCTTTGCAAATTCTGAATTTAATTTGTTTTCAAATATGCCCAGAAATACATCTACTAGCAATACATCTACTAAAGTGGACTTATTTTTACCATGACCTTAAAAGGTCATGGTAAAAATTTTATAGTTTATAATTCAAAATGTTTTTCGAAAAACTTATAAAAATGATAAAAAATACAAATTTTAAAAGAAATTAGAAAATGTCAGCGAATTTTATTTGAATTGAACCTAAATGTCGAACTGTGAAAGAAGGTATCAATTAAGCTTAATAGACAAAGAGATACTACTAAACATATACCAAATTCAATTAACATTCAGGAGCTAAAATTTAAGAGCTTACGTTTTTAAAACTTGTGTAATTTTTACAAAATTTGGCACTTTCGCATATTTTAAATCGTAGAATCGAAAATGGAAAAAATCTTTGTCAAGTCAGAAAAACTGTTCTGCAGAAATTGAACTGTGCAACTACCAGCGTTCTACTGCATTATCTTGTCGGCAAATTAAATAGAAGAAACAGAAGTAGATGGTTTTTAAAAAGAGCTTTCATTTAGTGTTCTCGAAAATAATGTCTGATCAAGTTTGAAGAAAAAAAAAGTATGTTTTCCATTATAGGATAGCATGCTCCAAATAGCTTTTTTGAAAACTTATTTGGAGTTAATGTTAACACTTTTAATTATAAATATTCACTGTGCTAGCAAAATTATTACGATAACGTGGAGCGACAAAATTTTGAACCAGAAATATAAGGAATAGTGTTTTTTAATAGTAGCCAGAAAACGCTCATACATATAGTTCAGCAGATGAAAGTAAAAGCAAAATAATTATGAAAAATGTATAGTCCAAGACAAGTACTTAAAGACAAAGAGCTAGAAAGAAAAATTATATGAAGCTGCAGTTGATAGATCAAAAGGCGGATCCTCGAATTAAAGAAGAAAAATTAATGTGTTCGATAAGCATACAGAAAAAAGCAGTGTTGTTGTAGGAGGCAGACGTAAAATACAGTTATAGAACTCTTTAGTGGTTATATGGATATCAATACACATAGAAAACTTTGAAAATACTCACATTAGATCAAAAAGACAATACACCATAAACTGGTTGTTTTTCAGAAAATTAGCATAATGGCATAATTATCAAGCGCACAATAAGGGTTCAATATTGAACTTAAAGCAGAATAATTGATTAATAAGAACCAAGCGTTCTTATTAACCAATTAAGGGATGTGGCCAGTTTTTAAGGAATTTTTTTAAGAGAATTTGATTATATCTGCAGTACACATAGGGAAACACTACAACACCCACACAGTTAATGCAGCCATGTTTCAGCAGAAGTGATAAATTAGGCTATCAATTAAGAAGAACACACAGTGTGTATTCCGCTTAAAGAAAATGCATTCGTGGACCAGTAAAAAGAGCTCTGCGTTTGGAAAATACATGAAAACTAAGCCAGTGTGCTCTGTTTCCAGGAAAATGTAGTCGGAGAAAGCTAGCAGTTCTTCAAAGCTTAAGTCTTCGGTCTGTGGTGAACTGTCCATCGTAGAAATTCGATCTAAAGATATAAATATCAGTCTCTTGTGGTACTTTCATTAAGTCACCTAGAGCCGCTTTCAGCGAAGGTTATCATTAAAATCATATTAACAAACTCTGTTAAATATTTGTAGCATTAACACTGGTATATTTCTTGGCATAATTCCATTCATTGAAGCAAAACAAAAACCTGAAAACAAGTACCTTCTACTAAATGATAACAGATTTGTTGTGATAAACTTATTTACTCGAGTTTTTGATGCAATGTGGATAACGCTTAGTATTACAGTAAATGGTTATCGGCTAACATACAAGAACACTATCTTTTGTTTCAGTTCTAGTCAGTGCTTTCCAATAAGCTACCAATTAATAAAATTTCCGTCGGTCATTCCAGGTATGCATACATAAAGTAGAGTATTTCTAAGTTATTTCATATATATAAACTCTTTAATTATTAATAATCCCTATTTTTGGAGACATTTTTTGACAGTAAAGTACACTTAGGTAACCTAGTCAGCATACATGAAATATGGTACTTTTAGCATACTTCATCTATAAATTCTTTAATGACAACATAGTATTGGATTTTTAAATAGTTAATCGAGAGTAAAGTACAATTAGATAGTCTAGTTTGAATGCCCGAACATTAGGCAAATGTTGTCAAGGAAGAGTTTTAAGCTAATGAACTCAAATCTGAATCTATAGCGTTCAGTTTAGGTAAAATGTTAGAATTAAAAGAAATACAAATAAAATATCAAAAAAGGGTATAAATTTGGATTTGGTTATGGTAAAGTATATACAATGGCTGCTTAAATTGAAAAATATCTTCATTGAAAGGTTTGTAATCAAAGCCGGACCATATTTATGTTACTCGCGAGATTTTAGTTTGTTTTCTTTGACTATGGCAAAGCAGGCTAAGGCTATCTGCCTAAGGGGAAGGATGCCATAGTGGAGAACTTTCTAAAGGAACCTGGCTTCTATCCATGTTACACAGATAAGGGAAAAGTGTTGGAAGCAACAGAAACTTCATTTAAGATCGAACAGGTATAGCTCCCAAACACTAACCGACTAAAGCAAATTGAAAAAGCTATTGACAATTCTTTGGAAATACATAAGCTATTATTAAGAGAGGTATTGATTAAGAAGAGGTCAAAAGGGGAGAATATTCAATACCAAGCAGTGGATGGGAATAGCCTACGTCGCTACGACTGCCTTTCCAGTAGAGACCAGGCTTCTGATTCATATCATAGGCTTTATTCGATTTTGCAGATAAAACTACATAATTATATAAATGCAAATCCATGTTATACAAGAGGAAAACCACGAAAACGCTCTGCAACCAGCCCGTTTGCTTGGAATCGAACCTAATCTAAACCGCCAGTGTTCAGCAATTTTGGGGGCTAATGTGCCTCGTTACTCAGGGAAGGGTTAAAAACTATATAAATCCAATGAAAATGCAGAATCAGTTCAACCGTCGATAGAAACAAATAGTATTTCTTGACTTCAACCAGTCGGCCTTTGATAACGGTAAAGCACCATTCTTTTCAATCATCATCCATGATGGCATCCTTCCTATTATGCGAATAGCGAGTTTTGCCGTAATTTATCAGATCTAAATTCTCAGCACTGGTGGGCTAATGCTTCGAAAGATTGACAGAAACATTTTCAGTTTCAAAAGCTGTACTACTCAATTTCTTAACAAAGATGTTTTAATTATTCTGATGGAATTAAATACTCAGATAATAAATGGTTACACTGATTTAGCATTTTAGATTTTCATACAATACATACAAACGAATGACAAAATGCATACTTACCTGGCGTTGTAACCACATATTCATAACCAAAGTCAAAATCATCCAGTGTGAAAAAAGAACTAAAAGCATTAATCAGTTTATCACCCAACTGAACGTAAAGACTAAAACCTAAAAGTAGTAGTTCGTACACTTTCATAGACAAGAAACACATAGCTGAAAACAGCACACAGCTTATGAAGCACGCAGCTGAAAGCAGCACACAGCCAAGTCGCAAGAAAATACTGAAAAATTCCATTATTAAGTCATAAAACATGCTTGATCTACCCATTTCTTTCATAATGCTTCCCTCAAAGGAATTTGTTTAGTTTTAACTTCCGAACGAGATAAAATTATCAGTCACCAGATAATAACGAGGATGATAATCTTTTCTAAAAAGGAACAACGAAATATCATGATCCAAAAAAAGCAACTACTATCTAAAAAAAACTGAAAAGCAAAATTCGACGTATGATAATTTCCAGTTCTTTACGTGCTTAGTTTCTGTTTGCTACATGTAAAAAAATAACCTTTCCATAATTACAGAAAAATTGCATCAGCAATAGATTACATTTTATATTTCAATACATACTTCATGAAGTATACTTTCGAAAATAATATGATGCATGATATTTAATTTCAAAGTAAATAAACGAATTTCACTTTTATCCTTTAGCTTCTGTTCACTTTAGTAGCTTGAGGTAGTTAACGTTTCAGAAAATCTTGTTTTATCTAGTTTTCTTTCATAATGTTTTCTAATGCTCGGCTAAATATTCTCTAAAGCAAAAATGGTTGCTTAATTATTAGTCAGTCTATACTAATTCATAAATCCATATATGTCAGAGTAATTGATTCAGGTAGCCAATGCATTTCAGGCATTTAGCATCTTACGTATTATTTCATTATTAACAAGTCTTGAAAGCTTGATGAAAATTAATCCAGAGAGCACTCATTCCTCATCAAAGAACTGTGTGATATCGAACAGTATAACCATAAAATTCCACAGGGAAAAAGACAAGATGACGGCTCTAATTCTATAAATAATTTCCAATTATTTAGGATTTTTGCCGTTCCTTTCATTACAGAAAAAGGAGCCGAAAGAAATTTTGGATATTATCTGTTACCGAACAGCATGTCCGGAACAGTTTTATTTAGAAAAATAACGCGCTAGCCGGATACTTCTAGCCAAGAGCCATACTTTCATCATCAGTTCATTTTGACTGCGGTAAAAGTTTTCCAAACATAAATATTTCTTTTTATGTTAGTTACGTTAATAGACAAGGAAAAAAATTGTTTTCGTTTTGCGATTTTGCGTCGAATCACTCTGAATGTCCGTTTCACTTTTCAAACTGTTGCCACCAAATATTAACGCCCTGTATTATATTTGAAGAAATTAAAATAATGAAGAATCTGCATAAATGTATATATGTTTCTTGCATTGTGATAAAAGCCATCCAACTTTGAATGACGTAATTCTACTGCGAATATGGGCATCTGGAAGCCCAGATTTGGAATTTGTTTTATTAACGATTTCATATTTTGCAAAACTTTAACGAATTTTTGATTAACAAACTCAAGCATTTCAAAGCGAGCAATGGCAACGTTGTACAGAAAAAAATATCTCCAGCGCGTGAAACTATCGGAAATTCTAAAGATACGATCAATTTAAAGTTATTTTGCAATATTGCTCTTGAACTGAATTTTATGGTTTAAGTGCAAAGAACATGATATTTAATAAATAAAGGTAGCACAAAAAATATTTAAAAACGTCCTTTTGGACGTAATTTAAAATCTGAAACCTTTCAGATTTTTTAAATTTTTTTATATTTGAATTAAAAAATAAGACTACTTCCGAAAACAATAGAGGTATAAAGCGTATTTAATTTAACGGTGGCCAACAGGGACTGTTGCTGCATATATTATTATATTGAAACATTTTTAGTGTGTATTCTTCCGCGATTTTCTGGAGAGGTATCCATGCTCAATTACAAAGTATGTCGGGCGCACAATTTCAATGTACTGTTATAAGGTATTCGAACTTGTACTGTCTTAAAAAAAAAAGGACAGAATTATTTTAAAACAAGTATTAAACGCACAAAATAAGTTTGTCAGAGATGTCTTTCTTCTAATAATTTTGAGACACGGGAACATATTTAAATATACAGCACATCGCAAAAATTCACAAATAACAAATTGTATTTAAGGATACTAAAATGTTAGCATCTATTAGTTTTTTCTTTTATCAATCTCGTCAAGTTATGGGTAAATTTTGAGTTTACCGAATCACAAATGACACAATTTTTGAAAATTTACTCAAAGGTTTCTCAGTTTCCATTCGAAACGAAATCGAAATCATACAAAGCAGACGGGTCAGAAAAAGCTTTGCACATAAACACACAGATGCGATGTCACCTGTAACCTAATTTACCGAAAATAAATATTACGTTTGCAAATTTTAAAAGTGTTTCCAAGTTTTGTCACTGACTTTAAAAGAAACTTTCGAGTTAAAAGCACGGTTTAAGTAAAATAAAAAATTTTTCTCTCTTCATATAATCAGTAGACAAAACCAAATATACACCGAGATCAAAGATATGATTTTTTTCCGCTAGTATTATGTTTTCTAGTCTCAGGGGTAATTTCGTTTTTGTCACTGCATACTTACTTCACATAAATCAGCTCCATATAGAATTTCAGAATCAATTCCCTTTCATTCTTTAGCTCTCAGCATAAAATTTATAAAAGCTGTATTACTTTCAGTCCTTGGAGGCTTTAATATAGACACTCTACCTCCAACATACTACTTCTTTACAGAAATATTTTAAAAAATACGAATTTCCTTATTAGACGAAAAATAGTCATTTGAATAGCCAAATTTAATATTTTTAAATGGATAAAATACGACTAAGTATGATATCTAAAGCATCTTCGATTGAAAAAAAAGCTTAAAGATTTTTCTCTCAGCTTCAGTATACATATCACCTCCAATAATAGCTCAACATGTATTGCATAGAGTTAAAACTGCACTGTGTTATTTCAAATTCATTTTTTCTAATTTTACACGACAATAATTCTTTTGCACTTAACAGCTATGTTAATATAATGACGAACGATCCCGAAGTTACACCAATTAAATGTGTTCATTCATTGTTCGAATCTGGTTTGTGGGCCGATTATTTCTTCAATTCTTTGATTTGTATAACGTTTTGCGTGGTTTTCCTTGAAAACCACACACTCCATTGATTTAAAAAATTTTCTTTCAAGCATAATTCATAAAATTGCGGTAAAAAAATACAAAATATTCACTAATGATGTCAAAGATTTTCTTTAAACCATTTCTATAATAGTAAGATAAAGATTTCAAGCTTTTCTTGGGTTTTAATTAGTAACAAAAGCTCTAGACCCACAATAAAAATTTAGACTAGAAAAAATAACCGACTAACTATTAACACCTTGCTTTGGTTTAATTTGATTATAAAGCAGACAAGGGCTATCTGCTTAAGGGGAAGGATGCCTTAATAACCGACTCAAAGAAAAACTGGCTCGTATATACGGTACACATCGAGAAAAACAAAAATTTCCCGTGTCTCGCGATTTGAATCCAAGTTGAACTACCCACCACTATGCACTTTTACACTTGATCGCTAATTTTTTCTTTCTTATTATAAAAAGGGTATGACTTTCAGACGTCCCTTTATAATGAGTGAAGCTAAAGTTTCTCAATTCAGTAATATTTTACGAATTCAGTAGTTAAATTTTAAAGAAGCACTATGTTTTATTCTTATTACTGATTACGAACTTCCTGTTAAAAATATTATATTTATGATTCTAATCATCTTCATAGGATCGTATTTAAATCCTGACAAAAATGTCAAAAATAATCATTGAAAAAGGATTATTAGGGAACTTGGCTGCTCAAAGCCACCCACAGAGTTTTCATTAGCATTAAATGTCTTTTAAACATTTTGAAGAAAAATGGGCCCAGACGGACTATAACAATCAGCATTTTAATTAGTTAGATGGACATTGACAGTGTATGCACAGGAGAAGCATAGCATATACATACATACAAACATACATACAGAAGAGGAGGAAAGATTGCGTCATAACGGCGAATGACGCAGGCATCAGGAAAAGCCAAGCTCGAATTTAAACCGCGGATATTACAATCCAATACTTTTATAAAGTGTAAAAAATATTTTACGAGAAACTGAATTCAGATGGGTATTTTAAATTTCTAAGGGGCATCATCCCTCATTTGGTATCTGTTTTATTCTCAATTATTGTTAAAGATAATTTGAAATATAATTATGTCAAAATAGTCCATAACAGTTTGACTACTATTACTTGTAGTAAATACTGGCAACACATTTTTTATACTCATTTGAGCAGTAATACAGTGGGTACAAAAAGTATTTCCACACATACATTTTTGTTCACAATTTATAAGAAAATGCATTAAGAAATATAAAAATTGGCCTTTAAAAATAGAATAAGCTTATTTATTTAAATTAATTACAAAAAATACAATAATATTAATAAAAAATTTTTTTTTGCAACAATATTAAAATAGCTTATGTCAAAAACGTATTTGCACACTCAACTCAACTTTAGCAAATTTGCATTTTTATGCTATTATTTGACAGTCATCCCGCAGTAAATAACATACGTAAGACGACTATAAAAGGATGTGTTATTGAAACGTTATCAGTTGATTGTCGATTTCAAATTGTAATGGCACCTAAGAAATCTGAATTGCCGATTTCGTTGCGAGAAAAAATTGTTTCTCTACGTGAAAGTTATCAAGAAATGGGTAAAAAAGTAAATGTTTGCTTCTCTACTGTTCGGTATATTATAAAGCGTCATAAAGAAAGAGGATCTACATCAAATAACTTGCGCTCTGAACGCCCAAAGAAACTTTCACTGCGAATAAAGCGAAAAATCATAAGAGAAGCATCGAACAATCCATTTGTTAGTGCAATTATTTAGCCAATGATTTCGCGTCAACATCTGGAGTTCAAATCTGTGCCCAAAGTGTTCGAAATGTCCTGCACGATGCACATATTTATGCGAGATCTCCAAGGAAAAAACCTCTCATACTGAACCAAATAGACTGAAGAGACTTGAATTCGCTAAGGAATATATCAATATGCCAATTGATTTCTGGAAAAATATCATATTCTCCGACGAGAGTAAGTTCAATATCTTTAAATCAGATGGCAGGAAATTAGTTTGGAGAAAACCTTGTACTGCTTTTCATACCAAAAATGTGTTACCTACAGTTAAACATGGA